GATTTGAATGCAAAAACATGAAGACTTAAATGAGCTTAAAATGAATTTATGGAGTATTAACCATAAAGGCATTTTGGGAAATCTATGAATAACTAATCATAATTGACATCTAAGAGGTGAATGAAATTCATAGATATGATTTGACATGCTAGAAATGATATTTGAACATAAACATGAAAGCATACTAGTAAAGTTTTAGCTCTAGTGATTGTTTTGGCCTAAAGGGCAATTTGGGAAACATGGAATGAAATTGAGGATTCCATAGTTAGTTTATATACTTATAATGAGATTAATGGTGGTTTCATATGCTTGAAACTTTCATATGTGTAACATCCCAAAAAAACGACCCAAAAATTTTTGTTGAATAATTACTAAAACATCATAATAAAATCATAAGGTAAACTCGTACGTCAAAATCTCACAAACAAAAGTAAAGTGTTATGAGTAAACTGAATCAAGAATATATCAGTCACATCTATGAGAATCAAAACAACTCCCAGGACAACTGAAGCTGTGGTGTGTGTGTGCGATGCCATCAACCCGAGCTCTTCCCTTTGCTTGCGGAAGTACCTGAAACCAAAACTGAAACTGTAAGCACGAAGCTTAGTGAGCTCCCCCAAACTACCACATACCATATAATACATATAATCACATACCGGGCCTTGCCCACTGCATCGGACCAAAGTCCGGAACTAACCAGGGCCTTGCCCTCTGCATCGGATCGGGATCCGGAACTACTGAGGCCTTGCCTCCTGCATCGGACCAAAGTCCGGAACTACTGCATCAGACCGAAGTCCGGAACTGACTGCATCGGACAGAATTCCAGAACATACTGAACATAGCATCACAATAGCATATCAACTAACATGAGTACATAGATAGCATACTACATCGGGATGTAACCCGGAACACATAACACAAAATACTGTCTGAACCACGAAGGCATCAAACATACTAGAATCTGCATCGAACCGAAATCCGGATACTACTGCTAGCTAAACGGGCCGACATTGTGGCCTTAGACCCGTTCCTACTGAAAGGAAACTCACCTCGTGATCTGGCTGCTGAGTGTGTGGCTCCGGTAACTATCTGTTGCTGCTCCGGTATCTCCCCGGCTACAAATCAACAATTACACTCAATCAAATTATTAATAACTGTGTTGGGGTAAATGACTCCTTTACCCCTGGCTAAAGTCAACTCTCCTGGTCAAAGTCAACTTTACAGTTGACCTGACTCGCCGAGTTGGGTCACCAACTTGACGAGTCCCTACTCTCATTTCTCAACCCTACTCGCTGCTACTTGTCGAGTATGGCATCAACTCGACGAGTTCCCTTTCGAATCTAAAACTTTAGGCAATCTGCATCAGACTCGCCGAGCCGTATGAACAACTCGACGAGTTGTTCTTCGAGCTAAGAAGATTGCCTTGGACTCGCCGAGTTGTATGAACAACTCGCCGAGTCCCTCCATTACTGAGTCTAACCACAACTCGCTGAGTCCACTCCATCACTCACTGGTCCCACTCGGCATCACTCAAAAAGGGAAAAATCGGGGACTCGCGGCTCGACTCGCCGAGTCGCTTGCATGCAGCAACTCAAAACTTGATTCTGCTTGAATCCAGTGCATAAAACTTATAGATCTGGACTCCCTTAACTCGATTAGCACGTAAAGATTCTATCTTTACGTGCCCATATGCATTCATGAAGATAAAATGGCTCAAAAAGCATAATAAAGGCTAGATCTAGGGTTTCCATGCAAAGTATCTTCATAAAGGCAATAGATCTGGGCTCTGAAACTTCTAAATGAATAGATCTAAGGATATCTCGACTTATTAGGGCATCCATACAATCATAAGGCTTGGGAAAAGCATCAACTAGATCTAGAAGAGTCCTAATGGAGGTTTAAAGCATAAAACAAGAAGGAATCCGAAGAATACCTCAAAGAACTCTGATTTGCCCTTGGATCTTTGCACTACTCCTCTTCTCCTTGCTCCTTTCTTCTTCTCCTTCTTCAAGCCTTCACAAATCAACATAAGAACACTTAGTTCACTCAAGGATGGATTAGGGTTTTCTCACAGCGTTCTGAGGGTGAAGGAGGCGAGAATGGGGGCTATAAGGTGGATTAAATATTGAGAAAACCCGGAGATTTAGGGTTTCAACCTGGCAGGCCGACTCGCCGAGTCTCGAATATGGACTCGCCGAGTCGCCGATCTATACGCTGATCAACCGAGTCCCGAATATGGACTCGCCGAGTTGCCGATCTATACGCTGATCAACAACGCGACCCTACTCGACGAGTCGGGACATAGACTCGCCGAGTTCCTCTACGAACTTCAAAAATAAATACTAAAAACCACATACCAGAGACGGGTCATTACAATATGAGTGTTCAACAAATTGGAAACAAACTATGCGAGTTTCAAAATGTTCATTTGTAAGATAGAGTAGTTAACCTTTCTTTTACAACTTGAAGATCATAATGTTCTTAAAGGTTCCAATGAACACTTAATGAATTAAGTAGGGTGTTTTGGATGATAAAACACCTGCTAATCATGCCTAAGAACCTAAACAACTGGTACAAAGTGATTTAGAAAAGGGTTTTCAAGAACAATGCAAAGTAGAGTGTTATTTTGGAAAAAAAAAAACAAATTGTATGAGTGTGCAGACATGAAAGCATGGCTAGTGGGTTTTTATGCCTTAATATCCACGGCCGTGGAAGTCTCTATTAGAGAATTTATTTATTTTCTTCATAAATTTTGCATACGGGCTCAAATTTACGCACAGTTTTCCCCTACATTCATATTTTTACATGAAAAATAGTTTGAAACAATAAAATTTAGTAATGGAATCTATGAGGGGTATTTTGGTCATTTTAATGACTTATGTTCATATATTGTATAAGTAGTGTTTAAAGAGTGTTTCTCTAAGGAAAGGAACTAGAAGAGGACTAGTTAACCTTCTTGTGATTAAGGTGAATATGTTTTAGAATTTTCCCACTTTGGGATACATGACTAAATGAATTTTATAATGATGACATACCAATGCTTTGATATATGAAACGTTTTGAAATGAAAATGTTAAATACTTTTGAAGTGAATGTTGTGAAAGAATGTCTTGAAATCAAGAATGTTTTGAAAGAAAATAATATTTTAAAAGAAAGGATGTTTTGATAACGTGTATGAAATGTTTTGAATATATAAATGCTTTATGTTTTAAATGATTATTTTGATACTAATGTATGAAATGTATAAAGCATGTAAAGAAATAATAATAACATATGAAATGTGTAAAGCATCGAAAGAAATGATAATAATGTATAGAATGTGTAAAGTATGGAAAGTAATGAAAAAAATATATTGCTCGAGCCATGATATCCCGTAACGGGATATAAAGGAATCTATCGGGGTGACGCTACCCCTTTGTAACATACATTGCCTAAGAAAATGATGTCTTGGTGGATTGGTTTTGTTCTTTCAACCTTGGTATAGAATTGGGGATATTCCTAGGCCCTAAGTATAAAAATGGCACCAGTTCGATACCGGAATTAACCCTTAATGAAAGAAGGGAATGAAATGAGAAAAGAAATGTCTCTTGAATTATGTTATGTATAATGAAATATTTTGATATGGAATGAAATGTGGAAAATGTCTATTTGAAATATGTTTGCATAATGAAATGGTTTTGATAAAAACGTGATAAATGTTTTGGGTCACAAACCCGAGTATCTCACAAGACATTATTGTCTTACGTATCTCTTTTTAATGTCATGTGTCCCAGGTTGTACTTAAGGAGTAAAGATGATAGATGGAATTTAGAAGTTAAAAAATAGAGAATGTAGTGGAGCTTGTCAAGTTCTTTATTAATGATATTAATGTAATTCATATTTGCGTAATGGTAGCACCCAAAGTTTTAATTGTAAATGTTTGTGGGACCAATTTTTATTAAATATGAGTTAATACCCGAATGTTTTTATAACCATAACATTGAAAAAGTTTTGGAGAAAAGAAATTGGGGTGTTACAGAATCTGTAATTTTTATAAAACTCGGGAACATGGCCGGTGATAGGGTTAGCAAGAAGGGCTTGTGCATAGGGCCCAAAATTTTCAGGGGGCCAATTATTCTGTTTTTATCATACTCAATTAAGCAATTTCAGCTCAAAACAAAGATAATCCATTCCAACCTGTTAAGGACTCCACGGTCTACACGCGAGAAGAAGAAAACATTGATCAAACGCAACAGAAAAGATCGATCATCGATGCTTCAGCCTTCAACGACATAATCGACTAGCGAGGGTACTCTTGAACCTATTATTCTGCTATTTTCCTAAGTGCTAGTCAGGTAAGTAATATTAATTAATAAATGTCATTGAAATCTTCAACTCCGAACAATTTGTAATTGAATATCTATGTCATTAATTGATTAATTAATAACGCCACTAATTAATTAGTTTGTAATCTATTACGAATGTCTATGTCATTAATTGATTAAATGATCAATATCATTAATTGATCGGTTTGTAATCTGTTGAAACTTAGACAATATGATAATTTTTTTTTAATAAAATGAGTGAGTTGTAATTGAATGTCTAATTGTCTATTATCATTTATCAGCATGTAGTTTGTAACTGAATGTTGATTACCAATTTGCTATCAAGAATGTTAAGAGATCCTTACAGATAGTCGGTTAGCTGTTAAAAAAATAGTTTATGTAATTAAATTCGTTACAGGTTAAAACCTAAGAGTCTTTTTTTCTTACTTGTCATATGCATTTGAATCCTAAGGACCGACCCTACTCGGAAACTAAGTGTAAAATAGTTATTTCATATCAAATTTATAACAAAATGAAGTCATAAGACTAACTAAGCAAGTAATTGAAACCATATAGACCATCTTTGCCAATAAAAATAGTTAGGGACTAAATATGATAATTTTATATATTTCATCCAAAAAAAACAGAACATTAACTACTCTACAAGTTGTAGGCGCGAACATCTGCTGATTCAATTATCAAGCCTCTTTGCTATATGCCACGTCCCTTCCACCCCCAAAAAGTTTCCCCAACAGCAAAAAATTCTAACAAACACCAAAAACGAGTGTTTCTGCGTTTCGTTTCGAATCTTATCATGGCAATGATTTTATCAAAATTTTACGTACATTCTGATTTTTAATTTCTGTGGACTCTTTGCTTAAGCATTGAACTGTTTGCAATCAGTTCCTTTTGGAATTTGTAAAACAAATTTATTTTTCCGTGCTTGTTAGGGCTTTATAGATCGATTTTATTTGCAATTTCGTACGTCCGAGTGTTTTCCCAGGTGTTGTATCTGTACTGCCTTCCGATTCTAAATTGACGAAGAGATCTCCTGTAGATTTGTGAATCTCTGAAATCTGAATCATGATATGGTGAAGGCAAAAGGACTCGCGGGTTATTTTCTAAGATTGCATTATGAAACCAACATCACGAAAAAACCACCAAATTATGTTGAGAAATGGAGGATTTCGATCGGAGACTGCAGCTGAAACAATGTCGTTTCCGTTGAAATTTTGGTGAATTAGAGCTTCGATTACAGGGATTTAGGGTAAAGATGGGGTGATTTTATGCAACCAATCTCGATGAAATGAGAAGGGTAGAATTATGGAACCGAAAAGTAGATTAAGAATCCAATGGACGCAAGAAATTTAGGTATTACTGTAGCTCTTTTCGTTGTGTTGGTGGCAGGTGTTTGTGAAGGTCGCAGATTTCCAGACAAATCTTCCTCTGGCCATGGAGTCCATTGGAGGGCTCATGATATAGACGAAAATAAGGTATGATTCTTCTTTGCTCTTCTTAAATTTTATACATTTGTTCATTATTGCGTTTTAACTTCCTTAATAAATGTTTAATGCTTTAGTTACTTGAAGGACAAGGTTTCCTTCCATTATCGATTGATGCCAAGCAAATCTTAGTTTCATTATTCAAACTTCTTCAAAGATTTTTTTTCATTACACTTTATGCATTAGAAATTCTGAATCATAGAATATCAATACGTTACAAACACTACAAATTGTTGAAAAAAACCATATTTCTTTCATTTTGTCTTGCTTGTTCAATGAGACAATTTAAGAGAGGGTAATGCCAGCAGTGAATGGTCCAGGAATTATGAGCAGAGTATGCATTATTTTATGATGCAAAGTTTAATTAAATAAAAAAGAAAATTGTAGTGTAACCCATTTCACTTGTGTCTCTACAGGAAGATCAAGTTTCGTTATTTTGTAGAAAACAGCTCAAAAAAATTACACAAGCTATCGAGTATTTTACCCTTAATTTACCAAACCCAACAAACTATATCACAAACTCTAATGCAACATCAATAAGAAAAATTCTTATACAACATAAAGCCATTCTTAACCACCCTCCAACACTAAATCAATCTTTCCATAGACCAAATGCTCGAATCCTCAAACCAAAGGGCCGTCGCCGGAAAAGACCGCCACGGCGGCGGCGGCGGAGGCGCCGCCGCCCACCATGGCCACCAGATCCATCGCCAGCTCCATCTCCATCTTCACCCAGACCCAGTGCTCCTACTCCTAACATGGCCCCATCTCCAGCTGGGGATGGAGATGGGGCCCTGACTCCCGATGGGGATGGGGCCCCACTGCCTCCTGAAAGGGCCCCACCAACTCCAGGTAGGGCCCCATCGAGTCCTGGTGGGGCCTCATCTCCAACACCAACCCGTAAACCATTTCCAAAACCTAAACCATTACCTGAACGTGAACCTTTTCGAGAGCCTTCATCCAATTTTTCACCGGAAAAAGCCAGAAGGCCGCCGGATTTGTTGCCGGAAGATGATAGCAAGGAGCGGAAGTTGCTGATAATTGCTGCAACTTCAACCACAGTGGCGGCATTTGCTATTTTCTCATTGTTTTTGGTTTGCTTTCTTAGACTGAAAAAGCGGAGAAGGGGAGGTAATAATGATGGAAGAGGGGAGGGGAGGAGGAATCTTGCTAGTGGTAATTACTCAATTGTTTATAGCATCTTACTTTCATTTTATTTTCTTATTATAGTTGTGAAATTTGGTTTACATTTATTTGGATGACATTGCATTTAACCTTTTGTTTTACAGGTTTTTCACTGAAATCCAAGAAACTCAAAAGTACAAAGGACATGGCTCATGATGTATCCACCAATGATGCTTCAGTTCCCGAAGATGAAGAATCAGAAGTTGGATCATTCCCACTTCCACCTGTAATAACCACTCCTCTACCACCTGAATCACCTCCAACACCTCCACCACCGCCACCACCACCTTCACCTCTAGCCTCAAAAGCAACACCACCTCCACCACCTCCAAAGCCTCCTAATGTCCCTAATCCACCAAAGAAAAAGCCACCCCCACCTGCTCCAATACCCAAAGATGGAAATGATGATGGTGAAGATTCAGATGCCAATAAAACCAAATTAAAACCGTTTTTCTGGGATAAAGTGAATGCTAACCCTAATCGAGCCATGGTTTGGCACGATATTAAATCCGGATCATTCCAGTAAGTCTCTAACCTTTAAGTATAATTATTCAGATAAGTTAAAGGGTTAAAATGTTAAATTCATATTTATGTCACATTTTCCACAACTTATGCAAAACATGCAATCACGTTTCATCAATATTGAACACAGTAATTTTTGAACGTATAGGTTCAATGAAGAAATGATGGAAAGTCTGTTTGGTGCCTCGAGTGTTCAAAACAAGAATGAGAATGGAAAAAACCCAGCAAACCTACAATCTCAACCCAAATTGGTTCAAATTATTGAGCCCAAGAAAGCACAGAATCTTGCCATTCTATTAAAAGCATTGAATGTTACTACTCAAGAAGTCTCTGATGCTGTTAGGGAAGGTAATTCTAAATTCTATACTGATTTATTAAACCATTATACTTTTTTTTAATCATTTATAAAACCATTCGTTCATTTTGTTACCAAGTTTTGGAAAAGAGCAAAAAAAAAAAAAAACACAACTAAAAATTATTATTATTATCATTATTATAATAATATAAAATAGTTAAGTGGTTAAATTGGTAAAATGATGAAAGTACGTTGTGTTTTTTGTGTAGGTAACGAGCTTCCAGTAGAATTCATCTCAACTTTGTTGAAAATGGCACCTACCCAAGATGAAGAACTAAAACTCAGGACATATAATGGCGATGTTGCTCTTCTTGGCCCTTCAGAAAAGTTCCTTAAAGCATTAGTTGATATCCCTTTTGCATTCAAACGTCTTGAAGCTTTGATGTTTATGGCTTCCCTTCCCGAAGAATATTCTTCCGTTAAAGAATCCTTCGCAACTTTAGAGGTATCGTTACAACTTCCCCTTCCCACTACAAGACAAAACAGGTTGTACTGTGTTTGACATGCATTGGACTGAGACCGATACAATTTTTTTTTTTTTTTTCTATTTGAATGGACTATTTTACACTTTTGGTGGCGTAACATCGACTCATTTTTTCAGGTAGCTTGCACGGTGCTAACAAACAGCCGACTCTTCCTGAAACTTCTAGAAGCGGTTCTTAAAACAGGCAACCGTATGAATGTGGGTACGTATCGTGGTGGGGCCGAGGCGTTCAAACTAGACAACCTTTTAAAACTCTCCGATGTCAAAGGAACAGACGGCAAAACCACACTCCTATCCTTCGTAGTCCAAGAAATGATCCGGTCAGAAGGAACCAAAGCTGCCCGAAGAGCCCGGGCAAACCAAAGTTCATCCAAAGACACTTCACAATCACAACCAAGTAAAGAACCGCCCGAAAATTACCGAAAATTCGGTTTCGAAGTCGTTTCCAAGCTAAGTGAGGAGCTCGAGGACGTGAAAAAAGCCGCACTAATTGACGGGGATACCCTCACATCAACGGTTTTGAAGTTAGGGCACATGTTAAGGAGAACAAAAGACTTTTTATATAATGAGATGAAACATGTGGAAGAAGATACTGAGTTTCAGGTGTTTCTCACGGGGTTTGTGGAACGGGCGGAGGCTGAGATCGGGTGGTTGTTGGAAGAGGAGAAGAGGATAATGGCGGTGGTGAAGAGCACGGGTGATTATTTCCATGGGACATCGAGGAAAGATGAAGGTTTAAGGTTGTTTGTTATTGTGCGTGATTTCTTGCTACTTTTGGATAGTGTTTGTAATGATATTAAGAAAACGGCCGCTATCCAAGCGAAGAAAAAACGGTCGGATTCGGCGACTACTTCGATGGAAGGGTCGTTTGGGCCAAAGGATATACGTGATAAGTTGTTTCCGTATAATAAAGATGGGCAATTGGGGTATTCGAGTTCGGATGAAGAGAGTGATTCTCCTAGTTTTTGATCAAGAGAGAAGTAGAGGGGCTAAATGTGAAGAAGAGAAAGTTGGAGGTTTTGTGTTGTAAATATCACAAGGGTGTGTTGTGTAGTGTAGATATCGTATTTAAGATGATGAGGGCATTTCCTTTTTGGTTTTGCTTCTATTTGAACAAGCAATAAGTGATTTTTGATGTGGGAGATTTAATGTAGGGATTGAATGTGAATAAGAGGAAGTTGAAGGTCTTCAACTCGGTGTATAATGTAAATTTTATCTTCTAATGTTAGATTTAGATTACTTTTAATATGCCTTTTTTGTTTGCTTTTGTTTGTTGTCAAGTGTTAGTTTGGATAAAAGATAAAAGAAAATGACCAAATTCAAGGACACAGGGAGTAAATATGAATAACAGAAACTTGAGGTTCTTATGCTGTAAATAATACAAAGGGTGTACAATGTAATTGATGTATTTTAAAAACGAAGATGGCATTTTGCTTGATGTTTGCTTCTATTTAAAATTTAAACAAACAAAAAGTGTTATTATCAAAAAAAATGTTGGAAGAATTCAACGATGTAGCCTGTAGGGATTGAATGTGAATAAGCGAAAGTTGAGGGTCTTGAACCCGGTGAATGAAGCATGATGTAAATTTCATCTTCCAAAGTATAGATTTGTCGGGTTTTATTTATTTATTTATTTAAGTACTGTTAGTCTAAAATGATGTTTGGATAAGAGAGGGAAATGACGAAATTCAAGAATCCAATGACTCAATGTGAACAAGAGAAAGTTAAGAAGGTCTCACATTGAAAAATAGTACAAGAGTCTTCAATGTAAATATGATGTTTTTTTTTTTTTTTTTTCATTTATATATAAAAAAAAACTTTTAGTTTAGTGGTATTAGATTGTGTGTTTCTCTTTTTCAGGTCAAGTCTTGTTGTGGATATAGATGGAATTAAGTGTTTTTTTAGATATAAAAATGATGTTTTGAAGTGGTGGGCATTTTCGCTAGCATTTTGCTTCTATTCAAGAAAAGAAAAATAAAATTCTATTTTTATAGTATTGTTTTAAATTATTTTTCATGGTTGAAAATCAATCTTCTAAGTTCAAATTCTATGTAGTTTGGAATATTTTGCTTCAGTGCCTATTGTAATCGGTTGGTTTTTTAAGATTTTCTAGTTACTTGCTAAAATATGTGTATATATGAATATGCATTTGTTAAAATAAATGTACGTTTTTATCAAGCCAATGTGAAAGAATTACCAATATAAAGACTAATGTAGGAATAAGAGAAAGTCAAAGGTCTTGATTGTAAAAATAGAATGGTTTCGGGAGTGTGCACAAGCAGCTCGACATGTCTAGGTGGAGCTTGCTTGCCATGACAAAACATGAAGCATAGAATTGTAGAACTCTACATTTTAAAGTCATAAGTCTATGCCTTAAGATCAATCTTTATACATATTACACTCGATTTACATCAAAATTTACGGGTGTTAAAAATTAATTATCAAATTAAAAAAAAATGTTTTGATAACCTCTTTAATACATTCTTCTATTTAACCCTCATATTCCAAATCCAACATCTTAGATAAACTACAAACAACCTCTTCGATATCATCCCCACAAACCCCACCATTTTTACCCGAAACAAACTCCTCAACACCGCCACCAACCACCTCAATCACACTCTTCCCACCCTCCACCACCCCTTTCACCGCCACAATCCTTCTCATCGCCGCCACACCATCCCACATTCCACTATCCGCATAAATATTCGACATAAGAACATAAACTCCACGATCATCCCCACTAATCTCTTTCAACCGATCCACCACAAATTCACCCAATCCAACATTCTTCCATACCCTACACCCTAAAAGAACCGAACCCCACAAATCTACATTCGGTTCCATCGGCATCGATCCGATAAAATTTAATGCTTTTCCAAATTCGCCCTTTCGAACAAGAAGATCGATTAAGCATCCGTAGTGTTCGACCTTCGGATTTCGTATTCTTTTAAAGATTTCAACTCCTTCCGTCACAAATCCCGCATGACTACATGCTGATAAAACACTCATGTATACCAAATCGTCCAATTCCATTCCGTCTTGCTCCATTTGATAAAAATATCTCAAAGCTTCGGCACCGGAATTGTTGATTCCAAGTCCGGAAATCATAACATTATAAGTAATAACGTTTCTTTCCAACATGCTATTGAAAACCGCATGTGCCTCTTCAATTCCACCACATTTCATATACATGTCGATGAGGGTTGTGTTTACCACGACATCAAGGGGTATTTTCGTCTTTTTGATGTATGTATGAAGCCACCGTCCTGAATCGAGTGCGCCCAATTGGGCACATGCTGATATAGAGCCTATGATGCAAAATTTATCGGGTTTTATGTTGTGGGAAAGCATTAGATTGAAGAGGGTTAATGCTTCTTTGGGATTTTGGTGTTGTGAATAGCCATTGATCATAATGGTCCAAGAAATTAGGGTTTTGTGATCCATTAGGTTAAATAGTTCTCGAGCTGCTACCATGTTGCCGACTTTGGCGTATGAATCAATCATGGTGTTCCATGAAACTGAGTCTCGTTCATGCATTTGGTCGAACAGTATACGTGCGTGAGTTACGAGGCCTAATTTCTGAAAAGAACAGAAAGACACAAGAGGCAGATTAAGAAATTAAGAAATCAAGAAGTACATTCATATGTGTTATGATTTGACAGAGACATTTATATGTAATTTTTGCAAACCTTGCCGTACCCATCAATCATAACGGACCAAGAAACAACATCTCTTTCAGGCATTTCATCGAACAGCTTCTGTGCTTCCACCATATTACGACACTCTACATATCCGCCTAACATTAGATTCCATGACACAAGATCTTTCCCACGGAATCCATTAAACAAAATCCTGGAACAATTCATCTGCTGACACTTGCAATACATTCCAATCAGCCCGTTTCTCACAAACGCATCGGAATCAAAGAACCCGACTTTCATAACTTCACCATGAACCTGTCTGCCTTCCCACAGTCCGCATATCATCTTACACGCCTTCAGGACAAATGGGTATGTATAATTATCACAATTGATCCCATTTCTTTTCATTTTAACATAAAGCTCCAACGCCATTTGTGGGTTTGTGTTGGAATTTGAGAGATGAGTTTTTATCATGGTGTTGTAGGTGTAGGTGGTTTTATTGGTGTGTTGAATTTGTGGGAGCATTCGGCCTGTGGAATTCATGGTTGAATACTGATTGGAGATGGACTGAACGAGGACATGTCAAAGTATAGAAAGTGGGGCGATATGTTGTTTGATCATCATCAAGAATTACCCGAAAACGTAGAAACCAGATTTTTAGATGATTTTGGAAATACAAATTCGGATATTCAAACTTTTAAATAAGCTTACTTCATATAAGGGTTGTGAACGTAAATCAAATATAGGAAGAACCTATAAAAATGAACTAGTTTTTAAACTTATTTGCAATATATCTTTGTACGGTCACTTGTTACAATATGATATTGATTAACAGTTAAAACATTGATGAAATCAACTTTAATTTCTTAATTAGTAATATAATTTTTGTAGATGCAAAAGGAAAAATGAGGAAGCAAATATCTTAAGTGGAAAAAGAAACAAGATCGTTGTACACATGTATAAATGAACAGTATCACAAATGGATCGACATGTATGATACAATGCTCTACCTAATTCGAGATGAATGTACAAGGTTGTGATGCTTTGTTACATAATGTTCAATTTCAAGTTGAATAAACGACATCTGAATGCTTAAATTCAAGTTGGACTGAGAAATTTATTAAACTATAAGTAAGATTTTTAAGTAGAAATTAGAAGTTTAACGCTTGACTACAGAATACAAAATAAAAAGGTATGATCGGATTGGGTAAGATCTTATGATCGGATCCTAAGATCTCGATATAGATCTTGATTTGGGGTCGATTACAGTGTTATCGACATCATTTAATCAATATACTTTATTCAAATTACAAAATTTCCAAAATTGCTAGAATGTAGTCTTTAAGTTGGGAGTGAGCTTATGATTTTAAGTAAAGAAGAGCAATAACCAAATTTGCATTTTAGGGTTAATGGTTAGTATAAGGCATTTTAGGGTTACTGATTAGTATAAGATTAAATTTGATGTTATATTATTTATCACTATGAAATTTGCGAATATTTAATGTCGTGTAGGGACAATTTTAAACCATAATATAAAAAATAAATTTTGGTGTTGGTTGTTCTTACAAATTCAAACATTATATTTGGTTTCATTTTGTAACAACTCATTTTCATAATTTTATAGGTCATTCTCTAGTAGCCATAAGCTTATTATTAAATGTTTACATTTTTCTATCATCTCCTCTCTATAAATTTTCACAACGAGGATTGCGATTCACTACAAGTTTGAACTCAAGATTCACAAATGGAATTTAAGACCGTTAAATATGATACATAATAATTTCCAAATTCAAACTAAATCAAATAGCAAACATTTTAACATACTATGAATGATGTCAAATTAATTACGTTTTATACTCCTTCAAAGACTGAAATTTCCAATAGACTCGAAACTAGCTAGAAAGGTGTAAATCAGACAACACTCGCAGGAATATGAAAAGGGACCCATGGACTGAGCTGAGCCAAAGATGGATGATTTTGGGGTTAAAAGTCAAAAAGCAATTTCTATCTTTTTTGACTTTTCAGTGGATTGAAGCAGTGGCAGTAACGTAATAAGCGATAGAAAAGAGGCTATGAACGAAACACAATATCCCTCCAATCGAAAGGAAACGATGATGCGAAAGTCCACATGAAGCATTTGATTTGCTGTTTGCTTTTGTCCCGATCACCAGCATCCCCAATCCAACGGCCAGGATTACCCTGATCCAATATCCAAACATCAGTTTTCCACACAATCTATTAAAAATATTAGTCACTTTAATTTGATCTGAAAATCATCTTTAATTTGATCTGAAAATCATCACTAAAATTAATAAATTATTGTACTTTAATATCGATAACTTTAATAATGATATTTCATCTTGTATTTATATTTTGCAATAAAATCTGTTTTGGATTTAATATGTTACCATGTTTTTCTAGTATCAAAATACGGAAAATTTTGCAACTAATATTCGATAAAATATAGTTGCATATTTAAGTTGCATAAGTTGACAAACAAGTAAAATATTATTTTTGTAAATCGATAAAAAAACAAAAGGTCATTGCATAAATAAACATAACTGGTGTAAAATACTTTTGTCTAAAATAGGTTGTTGAATATAATATGAAAAAGAGTAAATTTAAGAGTAAATTATTTTGGTGTTTGGTCCCAAACTTTTTTTTCAATTAGATTGTCCATGTTGTTTGATTTTGTTACATTTTCGTCCCTAACATAGATAAGATTGGGGACCAAAATAAAACTTTGATCAAATCGTAGAAACGAAAAATACAATAAAATCAAATCATAGAGACGATCTGAATACAAAGAGACTAAATGTATAATTTTGATTAAATTATAAAGACGATTTTAATAATTTACTCTATCAAAAAATATAAAACATCATTGCATGTATATGCATTTAACCTATTTTTTTTAATATTAATTGGGTATTTTGGAAAATAAAAAAACCACGTAAAATGCTGACAGATTTGAATGATTTTACAGCACTTTTCCAAAGTCGATATGATTTAAATAACAACGTTTAAAGTTTCTTTTTACCTAAATGATTTTTAAATCTAAATAATGTAAAGATTTATGATGGAATGTGACAAAATAAAAAATAAAAATAAATTACAAACGACTTCATCACACATTCGGAGCTCGGCATTTTTTCGTTCTTGAAAGGATTTTTTATTTTTATTTTTATTTTTTTTAACTAGAATGTACAATACCGTTACAATTACTATTTTTATCTTCTTTTTATGCATTACAAAAATTCACACTTTATTTGAGGGTTACCCAAGTGCATACTGCATACCACACTCTTTAATGATGCCATTTCCCTATGTTAATTTGGACGCATTTAGCTTACTTTTTGGAGAAAAGAGAAGAAAACAGTACCATGTAAAGAACAGCGATAGCAATGACAATTGCCTCCCAAGAGAAGCTTTTTGGACTTCATCATGGCTACAAACGGCGCACCCACTTAGCAAGTTGGCTAACACATGGGCTGCAATCAAGAGCACAATGGCAGCCAACCCTAGCCTATAAGCTTCATGGCTTGGTTCTTTGCACTCAAACAACCACAACCTCAAATGCTTCTCCTATCCATCAATACAAACACACACAAAAAAAAGAACATTCTATCCACTTTCTTTATCATATATACAAACCCATTTACACATTTATCAATTGAGAAAACAGTAATCGAACCTGGTTTTGGGCTGCTTCCGCTCGGATCCCAAGAATGCCCGCAGTTATATCCAATGCAATAATAACAAGACATACAAGCGCACCGATCACTTTGTTAGCCATTGCGACAATGGTTTGAACAAGAAAGTTTAGCTGGTTTTGAGATGAAAGGGAGAGAGTGTTTAATATATGGGGTTCATGTGAAAGGGAAAAGGCTTGTTTTTTGGAATAGTTTTTGTTAGGGTTTTTACATGCTTTGCAGTGGTGCTTTTAAGTGACACTTTTTATTTACTTTGGATACTTTGGAAGGGTAACTAAGAAAAGTAGGGTATAAAACAGCTAACGGGGAAGTGGGGCGTATAAAAGAATCTAATACTTTCTTTCATTAGAAGAACAAGAACCATAATAAGGCATGTATATAAATGGTATATATAAGGCTTAAATGTATATTTAGGTAATACTACCTAAAAAAATTAGTTTTTATAGAAAGTAGATTTTTATACAAAAATTAGTAATCAAACTCATTTAGTATACAAATTTATTTAAAATATATATATATATATATATATATATATATATATATATATATATATATATATATATATATATATATATATATATATATATATATATAAAGTTGTAGACATTTATAAGTATGAATTTATAAGGAAAATAAGAAAATATTAAATTATTGAAATTGAAGTGCTGATTTCTCTTTTAAATTTAAATAGAAAAAATAATTACGTTTTAACTAAGGAATTTTAAAATTAAAAGCAAAGTTACATTAATAAAATTAATATCCATTTATTATTATATTTATTATAATTATTATATTTTAATACAATGTGAAATTTAATAAAATGAAAAAAAAAAAAACACTATAAAATGACATGTAGAAAAATTTTAATTATAAAATAACATGTGACAAAATAAATGAGAGTAAGACATGTGACCAAGAAATATATATTAAAGTAGATTTTGCGAGTTACATGTTTAGCCTAGGGGTAAGCATCCAGACTAAAACGATTTAGAACAAGAACTGGTTTAATGGAATCAAGTGGACCGAAAACCAAATCGATTAGCCTACATCGATGTTGGTCTTGTATTTTTCGGTTAGTTGCCTGGTTGGAACTAATATAACTTGTTATGCAATAGGTACAACTCGATGAAGCCATGATCTCTTATCACATCTGTAACACCCGACTCACAGGCATAAATTTTAAAGTTTAAATACTCATTTTGAACCTACTCAACGAGTTGGTTGCCCCCAACTCATTGTGTAGAGACAGAATATGTTCGCGTGGTTTATGGAACCTACTCGACGTGTTGGGGGACCCTAACTCGACGAGTAGAGGTTGTGCATGAAAACCCTAATTTTTAGGGTTTGCACATTATTTAAAGACTCATTAGCCATCCTCTGCCTCTCTTATTGTCCCCATCAACCTCAGAAAACCCTAATCATGTATTAATCCTCATTTTGTGTGTGTAAAAGCTTGGAAGGTGGTTTTAGTGAATGAAACTTGAAGACTCAAGAGCTTGGATCAAGGAAAAGCTTGTAGATCCAGTATCTACTCTGTCTTGGCTTCCATTTGAAGGTAACAAGTTGTTACCTTGATCATTCTAGTGTTAGATCTCCTCATTCAAGGGTTAAAGGCCATTTTTAGCATATTTGTGGGTCATTTATGGTATTGAGCATGATCTGAAGTTGTAACTTCAGATTTGGACCCCTCTAAGTCCTCATAGTTATAAAGTTATTGAATTTATCAAGCCTTGGCCCTTCTCTTTGGCTTAAACCTCTTCCTTAGTTTGGGTTTGGAATTTTGAGCTTTACATGCACGTAAAGTTTGCAACTTTACGTGGAAACTATACCCTAGGAAGCTAGATCTACAATTTGGAGCCTTGGTTTTGCTTAAAAACGTCTGAATAAGAAGAGGACTGAACGAACTCGATGAATTGCATGGTTAACTCAACGAGTCGGATGAAGATTGCCTGTTTTTGGTTTCTGCATGGACTCGGCGAGTCAGTAATATGACTAGACGAGTTGGTTAGCGCTTTCCCGACATT